TCAGAACCGACTTAACAACGCTTAACAAAAACAATAGTGGTGAAACTAATTTATTATCCATTAAAAACTAAAAACGGAACCCACAACCATTGATTTGATGCCAACTCACAGTGACTCTTCAGGACATAGTAGAACTGCCCTATAAGGTTTCCAAGGCTATAAATCTTTATGGAAGCCACTGCCACACCTTTCTCCCACAGAACAGCTGATGGGTTCACACTGCTGACCTTTGAGTTAGCAGCAGGACATTTAAACACTGCGCACTAAATTGTTTATACCCTCACCTGATTTCAGAAAGGACTCAAGGTTCCTGAAAAATGAATTAGGAGACCTGGTGTGGCCTGTAGGATAGCCTCCAGATCAGCGGTGCAAACTTACCAGTTGCTCCTCATGATTCGGAACCCATTTGAGGGCACTTAACAACAACTAGCTCTGTGACCTTAGGCAAGTAATATGGACTCTCTGTGTCCATTTCCCATCAATAAGCAAATGCTTATTGAGCGTTTACTGTACACACCAGACATTGTCCTTATGATTTTATATGTACCTGTATTGATTCATTTAATTATGAATGAATACAATTACGTTCAGTATCTTCCCAGAATTTGTAAGTACAGTTCCAGGACATTTTTATAACACAGGCAGAATATTTAGGGCTGACATTTTGTGGGTTTTGCCATTTCAAAGAAGCCTGGCTGCTTCTCTGAGCTCCAGAGAAACCTGTTGCCTGATACCCCAGTTTAAACTCTGAGTGGGTCACTGTGCATCATTGCTGATAGGTATCTTGTCTTTGATCCCAGGTTGGAGAGGAAGGGAAGTCTTCAAGTAAAGAGACCTCAGCAGACCTGGCCCCTGGGGAGAAGACACCCAAGAAGGCTGGGGGACAGGAGGGAGGGGAACCCCTTAGAAAATGTCTTTGGCAGCCAGGCCTGCAGGTTCATTATGCTTTCCTGGTTGGGAGTGATTATGGATACCACTCTCTGCTCATCCAGCGTGGGTGTCAGAGAACTGTTGATCCAATGTCCAGCTGTGATTTCTGTTTCATCTGTGGAAACCATCATCACCCTGTGGGTGGGTAGGGACCCTGCCTCCTGGGGTCAGGAACCTCACCCTAGCTGACTTAGGGGTTACCTGTAGTTGTACTGCTCCCCTCCTAGAGCCTGGGCATGAGAAATGAAAATGGTGGTGAAGGAAACAAAATAGCAAATTCCCTAGTAATGGTGGGAAGCTCGGCAGTCCCCACCCAGTGACCAGGGCTCTGCCTTCTCCAGGGATGCCTGCCAAGTGCACATCCCAGCTTCACACAGTGAAAGGATGGAATGTGGCTCAGTGTGTAAATTGTGCATGAATGTGTTTATGGGTGAACATGTCTGGTGTGTGAGGGCGTGTGTCACTGTGTGTGCCAATTCATATAATTGTGCCCCTGGTCTCTGTGGCTGAGTGTGTGAGAATGTGTATGCGGAGGTGTGTCTTTGTGGCTCCTGGGGACCCAAGTTAGCCTGTCCTCACAGCTGGGGACTTCAGGATCCAGGCGAAGACCCTTAGCTCCTGGGGTAGGGGTGGCAGTTCTCCACCCAGCCCTCCTTTCATGCTCTGGGATCCACTCAGGGCCTAGAAGTTCCCACAGTGGTCACCCAAGGCCATGGTGGGGCAGAGAGCCGTTCCTGGGACTCTGAGAGTTGACCCCAGTGGAGGCAGTGAGCTCCAAGCAGTTAGTACAATCAATTCCCCCTTCCCTCTCCAGTGACCCACTCAGTGCTTGATTCTGCTCCTGAAACCCCTACCTTCTCTTGAGCCCCCAGTGCAGGGCTGTGGACTCGAGAGGAAGAAAACTCTAAGAGGCATGGCTCTGCTGTTGCGAGACTGTGGGAATTGCATGTGGGTGTGTGCACTGTGTATGTAACTGTCAGAGTGCACGTGTGTGTCTGTGAGAGAGCTCTCTGAGCTGCGGGTCCTCATTCACAACCGAGGATAGCAGCACCTACCTCGCGGTATCGGACGTGCGTGGGCCCCGGGGCCCAGTGTCAGGTGTCCCGAATAGTTGGTGTGTTACTCCCAGGGTCGTTGGCCAGCAAGCTCTGGCTCATTGTACCGAATATATGCATTAATGAAAATCTCGGGTAAACCCATGTAAATCCGACACGAAGGGAAGGTCGATGGAAAGGAACGCTCCGCAGCTGGGGAGCATCCAGCACCCGGGATTTGGAGTCAGAGTCCGACTGGGCCACTTAGTCGAGTGACCCAGAATCCGGATCTGTAATCTGGTTCGGTATCCGCCCTTTCTGGTGATTTCTGGGGAGCCGTGTAGCATGGAGTGGTTTGGAGGACGATCAGCCGTCACTCACTCACCAAATGTCACTTTCTATCAGCGTTTCTGCGGAAACACAGAGGACAGTCTTCTGAGAGCGCGCGTCTTCCAGGTCCCGCGGAGACTGGGGTGGGTGGGCGCGACCCCGCCCGTCCCGCCTCCGCCCACTTGGGGGGTGGGGGGAAAGCGGGGCTCGGGAGAATTTTCAACCATTGTCTCTGCGCCCCGGACCTCTTGCGCCCCGAAGCTTCGCCTGGTAAGGAGTTTGAGAATTTGTTGATGGTGCCCGCTCCGTGCTGGCCAAACCCCGCCCCACCCCGCTGGCGCTCCGCCCTCGAGGACGCCCCGCCCCGGGCCGCGCCCCTCAGCGGATGCGCCTCTTTCCCGCACCGCGCTCGCGGGCTGCCCTCAGGCCCTTGCGTGCTCAGCGCCACTACCGCGAGGCTGACTCTCTCCTTTCACTCCAAGACTGCCCGCCGCATCCCCAGGGCAACTGTCTCCAGGGAGACTGGGCCCCGCCCCCCGCCCCGACACCGGTACGAAACCCACCTGCGCGGGCGTCTGCGGGGTCCCAGTGTCCCCCGGTGCGCCCGCCAGCCGAGCGCCGGGCTTTGTCCGCCTGGGGCGGGGCAGGGGTGGGCCTTGGAGGCGATCGTAGTCCAGGGCCGTGGGGGCTGGGGATGAATAGGACCCAGGCCAAGGCAGAGTCGGGCTCGCGTTCTGCTTCTCTACTAGGGCTGGTGCGATGCTCTGCTGCGTCCCTGGTCTGTCAGCGCCCCGGGTGTGCCTTGGGAGGTCGGGTATTTGAGGTGTCTCCGCTGCCGCCCTCAGCTGGCCCCGTTGGAGGACGCGGTTGTCTGGGAAGAGCTGTTTACTTGTCAGGGATGGAGCAGTGGCTGTGCGCGCCCTCCCCTTCCCCCCGCCCCCATTCAGGAGGCACTCAAGGAGCACCCTGTGATTAGCCCAACTCGAGAGTCGCCCTTGAACCCGAAGGCTTAGCAGACGACAGACCAGGTCATGAGGTCGTGACCAAAGACAGACCTTCCACCTGGAAACTGTTTTTCCCCTAGCCGCTGTCTTGTGCATTTTCTCCTGGCTGCTTATTTCCTGACCTGAATTCCTAAGGACAGTTCTTTCCCTGCCTCCCTAACTCTCCTCTCGGCTGGATCATCCCTTTTGCCTTACCTCCTCTTAATTCTTTATCTACCAGCATTTCTCAGTTCCCCGTTACTGAGCTGGGATTATCCATCCCCTAGTTAACTCCATATCGGTTTCTGTGTTGTTCAGCAAGAGGGAGTGATTTCTTCCTTAGCTCTGGCCTCTGGCCTCTGGCCTCCCATTTCTCTGTCTCAGGAAGTCCTGGCCCACCTCCCCGGGATGCTGGGTGAAGGGACTGTCCCAGCCCACGTTGCTGGGCGCCTGGAACCAGGGCCCTTCTATCAGGAGCTGGACTGGTGGCAAGAATTCCCGCTTGGTCCTTGAGAGAGGTGGTCCTGGAAGTGATACCTTTTCCAGAGGGTCCAGCCATGGTCTCCATTTCTTACTCATCAGGAGCCCTCCCCTTCCCTGCCCAGTGGGTTCCAGGCAGGACTCCCCACCCAGGGGAGATAGCGATGCCCAGGGTAATGAGGGAGGGCGGGTCCTATGCAGAAATCCAGGCGGCTCAGCTTCCGGAACTCAGGCGTCGTTCTCGCTGGGGTCAGGTAATTTCCAGGAGGAGGGAGGGGGCGATGGTGGAGAGAAACACCACTGATCCAGTGAGTGGGCGGACCCCTCTTCAGACGTCCTCCACAAGGGCCGCCTTTCTTTTCATCTCCAGTAGAGCAGGGATGGAATTTCCTTTTTGATGTGATTTGAGCTTTGAAGTTAGATTCTTAGGGAGGATTGGGCCATCTCAAGTTCACAAACCAGCCTCTCTTGCAGCTACTGAACGGAACTCGAACCCAAGCCTGGCTCAGATCACTTATTCTCAAATGCCAAACAAAATCAGCAAACGACCTGAGAACTGCTGGCAGACATCCGTATATTTTTGCTTCAGGCCCTGGAGATGTTGCTGTGTTTTGCTCAGTACCTTTAACGGGAGCTGGGGGTGGCTTGGATGCAGATGATGAGAAAGGCCGAGCAAGCAGAATTTGACTGGTTTGCAAAAAGGCAAATGAGGTGAAGTGGTTGTTTTTGAACTAAAATCTTGTGAGACTACGCAGAAGGCTTCTGAGATTCTCTCTCATTTTTAATAATTTATTTTTTTGTTGTTGTCCCTGTTGAAAATACACATCAATTCAACAATTTCTATAGGTACAGCTTAGTGACATTGATAACACCCTTCCAATTGTGGACCCATTCTCACCCTCCCTGTTTTAGCTGTTCCTGAGCTCTGGTAGTGTAGTGGTTACGAATGAATCAGACTGCAAACCGCAAGGTCAGCAGTTTGAAACTACCAGCTGTTCTGTGGGAGAAAGATGAGGCGTTCTGCTCCCGTAAAGATTTACAGCCTCGGAAACCCTGTACAGGGTCGCTATGAATTGCAGCCGACTCCACAGCACACTGCCACCACCATTATGAAAATAAGCTTACTGTCCCCTAAGTTTCTTATCTGATCTTTCAAGTTGCTGTTGTCAGTTTGATCCAAAGTAGGTAGATTTTGAAAGTCTTTCTCTTTTTTTAAATTTCTCTCTGTCTCTTCTTTTTCCAGGCACGTAAGGAGCTCAGAGTGAGGCAAGGGCGGAATGACACGCATTGATTCTAAAGCATCTCTACTGTACCAGACAGAGGGACCTTTGCTTCTGCTCTTTCTTGGACCATCCCAGAGAGGTAGGCTGGGGAGAAGGGGTTACGAGGGAGAGGAGGAAGAAGACACATTATTTTGCAGATAGATAAAGAATGTGAAGCAGATCTGCTCCCCTTATCTCACCAAAGGAGAGCTTCTCCATGGATTCGTCTGCCTAAAGGGAGACAATGACCCAAATTTGTGCTAGGAGCCTGCAAAGGGAAAAGATAACTAGACTTCAGCTAGGTTCCCACAGGAGGGATGCTGCCTGGGAAAAGAAGACACAGTATTACTCCCAGGAGCCCTGGAGCTCATTCTTAAGCAGCAGGAGTTGGTGTTTGTCTCACTATGCCCATGGTGGAGTTGAGCTAGCCTATTTTGGGAGAGAAAAATGAAAATGTTACCTTGAAGGAAGAAAATTTAAATTTTCTAACTTAGTATTGCTTCTCAAAGAGTCCTTAGATGGGGACTTTTTTTTTTTTTTTTTTTTCCCATCAAAAATATACTCTTTGGAGCGTGTAGGGTATTAGGCTTAGAAGATTAATACAGTCCTTTCATTGTGCAAATGAGGAATCTGAGACCAGAGAATGAATCTGAGACCAGAGAATTGGCATTGGGTTGAACATCCTGCCCAGGGCCCTAGGGGAACTAGGAATGGTTAGTGAGCTCCCTGAACAGCAACCATCTCTTCAGAACAGAAAGGACAGGAGCTCTAGTTCCCTTGAGGTTTTCCCCTCCGCTATTCTCAACTTCATTTCCCGTGTCTTCCAGAACTTCTGTACTGGGTTGTCTCTTCCCCCGTCCCACACCCAAATTCATGTCTTTCCAGAACCTGCGAATGCAACCTTATTTGGAAATAGCATCTTTGCAAATGTAATCAAGTTAAGATTGATTAGCTTGATTACATTTGCAAAGACCCTATTAATCGTACTGGAGTAGGAAAAGGTTCCATCAAGTCCATTCTCATTTATGGCATCCCTGTATATGTCAGAATGCTCTTAGGGTTTTCAGTGACTGACTTTTTCAAAGTAAATTGCCAGGCCTGTCTTCCGAGGCAACTCTGGGCGGACTTTAATTTCCAACTTTTGGGTTAGCAGTTGAGCTATTGGCACCATCTGACTATCTGACAAAAGCCACCAGAGAGAAAAGAGGCCACATAAAGAGCGGTGAACAGAATGACATCAGACTCTTTAAAGTGGCACTAGAAACTAGAAGGCGATGGAGTGATGTTTTCAAATTTCCAAAAGAAAGTAATTCCCAATCCAGAGTTTTGTATTCAAGGTCGGTTTGAACCAGAAAGTCAGTGATTCAAACTCTTCAGCCACTCCTTGGAAACCCTATGCAGGGTCACTATGAGTTGGAACCAGCTCAACGGTACTTAACAACAACAACAGCAATCCTTCAAGTAAAAGAGTAGAATAAAGACATTTTTTAAGACATGTGGATTTTTGAAAACTTCGCCTTCAAGGAAACCACTAGAAGAAGTATTCCCAATATGAGGAAACCAATCAAGAAAGAAGAACACGTGATATACACAGGTGTTCCTTGTTCTGGCTTCTCAGCTGCCAAATAGCTGTGTTTTTGCTATCCTATTACTCTGAGGTTTGGAAGTAGCGAGAAAGAAAAATGACCTCCCCTGATGGGCACTGAAAAGTGAGCACTCATGAGTCTCCTGTATAGTCAGAACTAGGTTTGTGTTCCCAACTCCACTGATAAGATTCACCTTAAAATCTGTGTCAGATTTTGACACAAAAGGGATGAAGAGTGGTCTCCAGCTATGGCTGTGGTGGCAGAAGTAGTGATGGCTGCAAGGTCAACTTCCTTATACACATTGTGGTACCTAGGGATTGGCAGTAATGACAGCCATTTTTCATTAGATGCGGTTCTGTATCATGAAGCCCATATGGTGGACTACAGTTATATAGTTCCTTTCTTGTTGAACTTTTTGTTTTTCCTGGAGTTGATCATTGCCTTCTTCTATTTGCTTTCAATGTATTAATCACTAGTTCTTCCTGAGACTCGCCAGCAGAACTTATAAAAATCATCACAACAAATAACGTCAGATAATCCATCAGTTCCTTTTCTGTTTGGTTTCTTTACTTACAACCAAGAATGCTGACTGATCCCAGGAGAAGTGAATGGAATTTCCATAATGATGGTTAAGCCAGTACCACAGTTATGCAGCAGGCCTAGAGAGGAGCAAACAATGGCGGTCCAAACTCACCAGCCACTCCTTGGAAATCCTGTACAGGGTCACTATGGGTCAGAACAGTTTGGAGCAAGATAGCAGAGCCCCAAGAGGAATATCTCCAAGAAGAAAATGGAACCAATGGGTTCTCTGACATATTTGCAATATTGTGATGAGTTTGACAACTCTGCTGGGGCATTGAAGAAAAATTATGATCAATACATTGAAAATAGAGCACAGTTTAAAAAATGACACAGCTGTCAACTACAGTAAAAACAAAAAGTTGGACATGAAAGAAAATACAATCATAGTATACTATGTGGCTTAGTTTTGAGTAATATTTATATAGTCCTGGTGTGGTACCGCAGGTTAGTGTGCTAGACTGCAAGGTCAATTTGAACTGCAAGGTCGGTGGTTCAAGCTTACCAGCTGCTCCTCGGAAACCCTATACAGGGTTACTATGGGTTGGAACCGACTCAACAGCACTTACAAACAACAACAGCAATAGTAAAATAAACACTGAAGATTTACTTAACAAAGTAATGTCACATAGCTATATTCTGAAAAGGAGTCCTGGTGTGGCATCATGGGTTATGTGTTGGACTGCAAAGTTGGTTTCAACCACAAGGTTGACCGTTCAGTCTCACCAGCTGCTCCTTGGAAACCCTAAACAGGGTTGCTATGGGTCAGAACCAACTTGACGGCACTTAACAACAACAACAAATATATTCTGAAAATGGAGGCGAGGGGATGTTTAGGGGAATAAAAACAGGAGCACTCCATCACATTATCTAAGGCAAAAAGATAAAAGTTGAGACTAAAGAAATGTATGCTTAAACCTATTATTTAGGAAGATAGAAATAAACACCCAAAGAAACAACTGACATTGTTTGGTAATGGTGTATGTGTGGAGGTGGAGGTCAGGAAACTTCTCTTTTGCTCAGATGGTTTCAGTTTTCATTCTAGTAATTTTAAAAATCTTGTGTCTATATAGCTTTTATGTTGTTGTTAAGTGCCATCCAGTCGGTTCTGACCCATAGTGACCCTGTTTCCAGGTTTACAGGGTTTCCAAGGAGTGGCTAGTGAGTTTGAACCGCCGACCTTGTGGTGCAAACTGACCATGTGGTCCAGTGCTTTATCCCACAGTACCACACCAGGGCTCCGTATAAGTATTTTTGTTTTTTTTTTAAATAAATAATTTTTATTGTAAGTTGAGTGAAGGTTACAAAGCAGATCATCAGTTTCTGTATAACTTTTATAAGAATTTTTGTATAACTTTCATAGGGATTAAAATTAAAATGCCATTATTATGACAGCCATATCTATTCATAATAGAACTGTTTTAATTGTTTCTGTGTTTTCTGACATGGTTTGTCCATAGGCATACGTTGCCATGACAAATGCTTGTGTGTTGTGTTTCTGTTGAGCCCGGGGACTATTTGGGGTGCTGTGCAGTATGTGCAGGAATCGATGTAATAATTTCATTCATCTCCATGGAGTTAAAATCCCATCATTTACTTAGTCATTTCCTTGTTATTTTTCATTTTTCACTTTCACAAGCAGTGCCACCTTAAATATGTGTTCACCTAGCTTTTTCTACTATTGAATTACTTCCTTAGGATAAATTCCCAAGGTGCTAGAATTACTAAGTGTGAGATCACAGATTCTGAGATGTTATGACAACTCTTCAGGGGGTCGCATCGTGGCAGTCAAAGGGTTCCATCTGGGTGTGGATCCTCCCTGAGTGGACTGAGATGGCTGAGTTTCTTCAGTGAAATTGGGTTCTTTTCTCCTGATAGCAACAGAAGGGATAATATTTGTTTTCCCTATAGAACAGAATTCCCAGAAACCTATATGCCTCTCAGTCTTCTATTTCTATATTGACTATCCCCAGTGAAGTTTGTTTTGTTTTGCCTTTTAAAATATTCAAATTAAAAGTTCATATCCTACTGATTCATTGATATGGATCAAGGGAGACAGCGGTAAAAATGAGGGAGAGAGAAGTAATATTTCATTATATAAATAGACCATACCTTGCTTATTCATACAGTTATTGATGGACACTTGGGTGGTTTCCATCTTTTGGCTACTGTGAATAATGTTGCAGTGAACACTGGCATACAAGTATCTGTTTAAGTCCCTGCTTTCAGTTCTTAGGAGTATATATACCTAGGAATAGAATTACTGAGGGAGGAGTCCTTGTATGGCTCTGTGGGTTAATGCACCAGACTGCAAAGCCATTTGAACTACAAGGTTGGCGGTTCAAGTTCACCAGCTGCTCCTCAGAAACCCTATACAGGGTCACTATGGGTCAGAACTGACTCGACGGCACTTAACAACAACAACAAGAATTACTGAGTCATATGTTTGGGAGTGAAGCTTTGCATGTCCTTGACTCACCTTCTGACTGGGCCTCGGAATGCCTTCTACATGATTTGACTTTGCTCATGCCCGCCATGCACCTCACTGACCGCTTTTTTTCTTGAGGTGGGAGTCCTTCAGATAAGCTCCTTCTTCGTCATTCTTAACCATGATCTTTATATGTGCTCTGTGCCTGGTTCCTGGGCTTCTAGACATTTCCCTCCCATGGTCTTACCTGTGAGCACTTTCCTGACCCATCATCTGAAAGAGGCCATGTCGGCAGGACCATTTTAATACATCCCAACTTATTTTTTTCAATTTTATTGTGGTAAACTATGTACAACATCCACTTTTCCACTTGATCCACTTTTAAGCATACAATTCAGTGGCATTAATTACATTCACAATGTTGTGCAACCTTCACAGTTTCTAGTTCCAAAACTTTTCATCACTGTAAGCAGAAATTCTGTCTCCATTAAGCAATAACTTCCCATT